AAAAAACAAACAATCTGCGATGACATATGTCTGCGAATTTGTTTATGCGGCGCAGACAAAAGTGGTTGTGCAGATCTTCACACAAAAAACAAACAGCCCCTAATATTAATTGAGATTTTCTAACATGTGCTTTAAGAACATACATAAGAAACATTAACTGAACTATTAATTATGGGGAATATTACCATTAATATTACTATAATTAAATGTGAAATTCATTAATTATAGAAAATATTCTTCTTAATTTAATTCGATTCACATTTAATTATAAAATCCCTTTCTTTAAATCTTAGTTTTTTCCATAAACCATTTCTATAAGACTATGACTTTGTGACTCGGTATTTTTGTAATTTTTTCAAAACTGGAGGCCCTCTTTGTTTCTTTCTTTCTTTTCTTTCTCCTGGATGGTAGTTAAGAACGAGAATAAATGGTATGAATAAAATGTTTGGTTTAGTGTGACGTTTCTGCTACCCTGGAATTTAAACGACGGACACGACTCCGGTTTCCAAAGAGGATTGGCAAGTATTATAAAACCATCGACCTTACCTTTGCTTAGACACTCGAAAATGGCTTCACTCTCACACCCATCAACAATGGAGAACCTCCCAAGCGAGATTCTGTCAAACATATTTCTCAGGTTATTTGCGAAACAACTTGCACAAATGAGGTCTGTCTCCAAGTCCTGGAATGCTTTCTTATCTAAACCTTCATTTGTAAAATCCCACCTTCATCGCTCTATCAAGAACAACGATGGAATTCTATTAGTCTCGTTCCAGGGTTTTTCTTTTCACACTAAACCTTTTACAGCACACCCTTCTAAATCTCCTCGTATTGAACTCACTGATTTCGTTACACTTCCGGTAAATCCACAATATGATGATACTCTTGGCAGAGTTATTGGATCTGTTAATGGCTTAGTATGTCTTTCTTCCGAATCAATTCGTAATTCTGTCCTTCTCATTTGGAACCCTTCTCTCTCTTCTGTGGTGACTCTTCCGCCAATTTCTATGCCATATTCTGGATTTTTTCCGATTCGCTTGTTCATGCGCTTCGGGTTTGATCCTAAGTCTGACGATTATAAAGTTGTTAAGCTAACAAGCTATCTCAGTAAACCCCCAATTGATCATGCATTATCATCCTTCATAGGTTGTCTTTCTGATGTTGTTAAAGAGTGGCTCCAGGTCGAGGTTTATAGCATGAGAAAGGGTTCGTGGCATTCGATCACTCAAAAATTTCCTTCTCACATCACATGGGTTGAAGATCAAGATGAAGTTTATGTAGATGGCCATGATGGCCATCTTCATTGGCTTTGTTATTCTGATTTGAAGGGTAAGCGACAAGTGATAGTTGCATTTGATTTGGGTGACGAATCATTTTCCGAGATTCTTCTTCCAGATTCTCTACTAGATTACAACATGAATCGGTTGAATGTTTTAGGGCGTTTAGGTGAGAAGCTTTGTATGATGTCAACTGTTGTAGATGCAGGATGTGAGGTATGGGTGATGAATGAGCGTGGGGTGTCTACATCTTGGGTGAAATACTGTGTCTTTTCGCACTTTGGTAATATAGTTCCACATGGGTTCACATCACGCATTGAGTTTTGTTTTCAAGATCAGAATGGTTGTCTAGCTTTGTATGATCCGATTGCAACCAAGATTAGAAAGTTCAGAATATCGGATAAAGAACATCGGATATTTAAAATTGTTGAGTATGTTGACAGTCTTGTGTGGGTGACACCTGACAAGTGTGAGATCAGCGGTAGCAGTGTTTCACGATTGCAAATTGGGTGAATGGTGACATGGTGAAAGGAAAGTGAAAAGAGAAAGCAAGATATCGTATTTATAACTATTTTCATGTTATTTTGTCTTGTGCAAATGTACCTTTGAAGTGTAATTTCTCTCTCTTTTGTCAGTGTAATGCATTTGATATTTTGGTTTATATTGCTTCTAAAATGTATGCTTCATTTCGTTATAATCGTCTGCTTTGCATTTGTTAAGGGTTCAAGTTTAATGAAGAACTAGTTTTACAGTTTTTAAACATTACTTAGGCGATGATAGTTGATTGGAATCTAACCTCTCGTATTCTAAATGTGGTTTAAAGGCTTCCTATGTTCAACTTTATAATAAAAGTTTAAACTAAGAATTTGTTCGTTTATTGTGATTACTAGACCGAAAATAGCTAAATTCATGTATTCAATGAAATTTACTTAATTCACCCTTTAGATCTTGCTTTTAATTAAATTTACCAACATTTTTTTTTGTTTTTGTAAGATTTACACTTTTGTTAATTTCTTCAGGATTGTTAACGAAGATGGGTTTAGGATGGGTTTTGGGTCCTAAAATGAAATTAGAATATAAATCTATACCTATAATCTTAAACCTGGTTAATTGCTTTGTTAATTTCCTGGTTAATTTCTTTGTTAATTTCTTTGGTGCTAAGTAGTAGGTTAATGTTAGATTTGAATAAGTGTTGTTACTTGTCTGAAATAGCGAGAAATATTATTTTTTTTCATGGTTTGTAAAAATAAGGACTTACTTTTTCATTTGATAATGAATGTGGTGGTATTATTGTTTTTCATAATGATGTTCTTAATTTTAAAACATTACCTTGTGATGGTGTATATGAAACTGTATCGGTTGTAGACAACTTATGAAATAATGTGTTCCATATCGATTCTTCCACTAGTTTGGATAAGGCATCCTCTTGGCATTATCGTCTTGGACATATCAACAAGAAACGCATAGGCCAACTCCAAAAGGTTAGAGTCTTGAGTCATTTGACTTAAAGTCGGATGATAGTTGCGAGTGTTGTTTGCTTGGAAAAATGACAAAGTCACATTCACTGGTACTTGTGCTAGGGGTGAAGGTTTGTTGGATCTCATACACACAGATGTGTGTAGACCCTTCAGAACCACCACTAAGGATGCGAACCGCTTCTATTTGACTTTTATTAATGATTACAGTAGATATGGTTATGTCTACTTAATCAAGCATAAGTCTGAAACCTTTGAAAAGTTCAAAGAGTTTAAACAGGAAGTGGAGAATCAGCTGTGCAGGAACATTAAGATGCTCTGATCCAATCGAGGAGAAGAGTATCTTAGTACAGAGTTCCTTAACTATCTTAAGGAATGTGGAATTGTTTCACAATTGATACCTCCCAGAACACCACAACTTAATGGTGTGGCTGAGAGGCGCAATCGAACCTTGTTGGACATGGTTCATTTTGTAACATACATGTTCAGTTATCGTGTATTCTAAATTATAAAAGTGAATAATATTACCAAGTAATATGTGAATTTGAATGTTGAGTTCTAACAGATGGTTTTTACTAGAAATGAAGTAAAACAATGCTTAGAATCATTCAGAAAGTATTAGAAGTCTTATCAGATTACAATCAAATGCCAAAAAGTGAAATTTAGCGAAAATATAACATTTGAAATAAGTAAAATTTTATTATTTAAAGTTGTAAAGAATCTCGTTAGAAAAGTTTAGGCGAAAACATCGTCGAAATCCGAGTTATAACAAAGAAGTTATGACCAATCGAAGATCCGGGATAAAACCGGCAAACACTATGTCGCGTAAAAAGTGAGTTTCCGATAAACGACTTTTTAGTCTTAGTGATCTAAATGAAAGTTGTAGAACTCGTTAAAATAATAAACTTTCATATAAAGAACTTTTAAATATGACTTCGTATGAGGAAGTTATGATTTTTCTAAGTTTCAGAATAATGGTAGACAACTAAAAACTCGAAATAAAGATTGAGCGATATTTAGCCGACACAACCCAAACGAGAATCGAAGGTCTCGTCAATAGTAGTACAACGGTAAAAAGTCAGACAAAAACGGACGTCGGATGAAGAAGTTATGAATTTTTAACGGATTTTCCTGTCCAGGTCTGTTAAAAATAATAATATTAAAACTAAATTCAAAATTTGCTGACGAAGTCTAAACAAAAGTTGTAGAACATAATTTTACCTACGCGTACATATAAAGAACGTCAAAAACGGAGCTCGTATGCGAAAGTTATGGATTTTAGAAGTTCGGGACTCAAAAATAGAGAAATAGTAGATAATACCAGGAATTTTCGCATGAACAGTACCGGCCACGTCACCCGCTCTCGCGAACCTCCCTGTGTCCGACCCGATGACGCGTCCGAAACAGTGGTCGAATACCGACGCGTGTGTGACATCCCCAAAATCACAGCCAGAAAAGACCGGTTTGTTTATGCTTTATAAAAATCAGAGTACTTCATTTCATAAAAATGTTGCGGAATTTGTTCCCAGAAAAACATGATAAATACGTTATTAAAACATTTTCGGAGAAACGTATCTTATTCATTTCAAAACGTTTGGGATGTCATCGTTAATACAGAAACATAAGCATAAACAGAACTTACATTTATTTACATTAGTGATCTACATCTCTTTAAATCTCTCAGTGTAAAGTGACTTCGTATCAACACCTGTGATATAAATAAACTGAGTGGGTCAGGTTGGGAAACCTGGTGAGCACATAGGGTTTTCAACCCACAATAATATAATTATTATTTTTAAACATTAAACAATCAACCCAATTACCCATTCCCGTTATCCTCACATTACGTCCCTAAAACATCTAACACAAGGGACCTAGTCAAAGGTCTATCATTGGGATGGAGCATACCTGGTGAGCACACAGTTCACACAGTTCGAATAAACACACAGTTCGAACAAACACACAGTTCGGTTAAACACACAGTTCGAATAAACACCTACAGGTTGCGAGCCTGTTAGTGTTCCACTGGACTGTCTAGAATAGTCCGTGGTCGTCATCTATACTCCGCTAGATGACTAGATCATCAAGAACATCTATAACGAGGCATCTCATTATTTCATTTTATCACACAGCAACTAATACATCTACCCATGTTTTACCCAACACATTTTGTAGATATAAAATACATATACAGTTTAAATTATTGAAAACATGTATAAAACGTTCATCCAGCATAGATAGCAAGTATACAGATAATATACACATACAGCACGTAATTTATATAAAATACTTCATATCTATGTGTAAGCTGAAAGTAACTATGCACTCACCTGATAGGTGGTGACTCAACACTCGGACAGCGCTTCGATACTCTCAAAACAATTTCCTTCGATAAAACCTAGTATCAACACCACTAGGGTTTAGTCTAACGATAACCGCGACTAATTAATAGTATAGCTATTATTATTATTATATAAGCGTTAAATAACACTCAATATAACTCATAATAATAGCCCAAACAATTATTTTAAGGTCCTAATAATGTTACTATAATTAATTAGAAGCTATATTAAAACTAGCGTAGGCGTAGCTCACTTACAGCGGGTTTTTCGCAAAACCGGGCTTCGCTGGAGCAGCGTTTCCCAAGCCGAAAGGCTCTTTTCTCGGGACTCCGGGAGCCTCGGGGCTTCCTTCGGGTGCTAGGGGGTTTACCTATGCTTTTAGGGGGGTTAGGGAGCTTAGAGAGAGAGTTTAGAGAGAGAAAGAAGAGGGTTGAGGGGTGAGGAAATGAGGGAACCCGGCACCTCTATTTATAGGGGAGGAATCTGATGGACTCGCCGAGTCTAAGTCATGACTCGCCAAGTTGGTCCATGTGGTGGCCTTCTGGTGGTGCCACGTGTCAAATTCTGGTGGTGCCACGTCACCCCCTATCGCGTATCAGCCTTCAAACTTAGAAAAATCATAACTTTCGCATGCGAGCTCCGTTTTCAACATTATTTATATCCACGCGTAGGTAAAATCAAGATCTACAACTTTCGTTTAGACTCCGTCAGCTAATTCTTGACCGATCTCAAATTTAACAATAGGAGGCGTTTAGACTGTTAAATGACCGTGAAGAATTCATAACTCCTTCATACGGACTCCGTTTTCGTCTGTATTTTTACTGTTGAGTTCTTATTAATGATATCTTCAACTCTCATTTAGGTCACGTAAGCCAAAAACCGCTCGAACTAAAATTCGAGTTTCGGGCTGTACACTACTAAGCCGAATCTTAGAAAAATCATAACTTCCTCATACGAAGTCAGATTTGGGAGTTCTTTTTATCGACGCTCTTAGTTTAACATATTCTACGAATTTCATTTAGATCACTAAGGCTAAAAAGTCTTCCATCGTAAATTCACTATTTACGCTTCCCGGTGTCGTGCCGGTTCCGTCGCGAAACTTCGACGGGCCATAACTTCTTCGTTATAACTCGGATTTCGGCGTTCTTTATATGTACAGAAACCTTGTAACATATTCTACAACTTGGTTAAGATTATTTATTCTAAATAATCTTTTGTCGAAAAGTCATTTTCGACCCTTATTGCTTCTAAATTGACTAGCCCGGATCTGCGGACGTTACAGCGTGTTCCCTTCCGATTGGACCGAAGTCGCGGCCCAACCAGTGTCTGATGCGCCTCGCACCTGGTGGCGCCTTCCGAACCCCGCGTTGCATCCGGATCCGAGCCTCCCTCCAGCTATCACGTCTCCTTCTCCCTTCGGCTGAAGCTCCGTACCTCGCTACTATAAATAGTAGTTGCGAGACCTCCCGGGTATTTTTGGGAAAATTGCCATTTTCACCCTAAACTCAATATTTTAGCTATTTCCACTTCCCTGAAGCCCCAGTATTATTTTTAACACCCGAAACACGTCCCGAAGTGCCCAAGAAGCCCGAGAAATTTATCTTTTTTATTTGAAGTTCTACCTTCGCAGAGCCCTGTTTTCAAGAAAGCTCTCGGTTTATATATAAGAAAGTTATTTATAGGAACGAAGTGTTGC